CAGGAGGGTTGGACTAGATGACCCACAGAGGTCCCTTCCAACCCCTACTATTCTGTGATTCTGTGATTTCTGGGAGGAGAGAGAAAGTCAGGCCAAGCAATCGTGAGGGGGTTTAGGCACTGGGTGGTCTTGGAGGGGTTGGGCTCGAGGGATCCATCCCAGGTACCTGACACCCCCCTCAAAGGATTAGGGTTCAGGTGAGGGTTAGGAAGTGTCCAGACCAAAAGAAGCAGTGCTTCGCCCACCACGTCGCTAAGCTGTGCAAGTCTAGAGGTGGTTAAAAGCTTTCATGAGTTCAGCAGCAGAGCAGAGACCTTCCTGGATGAGGAAATCACTGCCTTATTACTTATATACGAAGCACCGTCAGCTCAGGAAGCCCCAAAGCTGCAAAGATCAGGGGAAGAAGTATCAAATCTGAGTCTGACCCATCCTCATCCTCATCAGCCTCCCAGCAGGTCTAGGGCTAGGAGAGGCTGACTCCAGCCCTGCCACCACCCAGGGATGCTCTGCAGGTCTCTCTGGTGACCTCAGCTGTGCGACGAACCCTCTCAGTCCTTGTTCCCAGTCAGCATCAGCAGCTTGAGCAGCTGAGCTTATCCCAGTGATGAAGTTAATCATGAGGCCAGAAAAGAAAAGATGCAGATCTTACATAACCACAAATCCAAGCCTGGTTCCTCTGACATATATTATTTGCAATGTCTTAGATAACTCAGGCTTAAATATTTCAGGCAACCTGCTCCCTTGTCATTATCCTCTTCCGCCTCGCTGGGCCACTCGACATGAAAGCCGGAGATCTGGAAACAGCCGAGGAGCAGCGACGACCGAGAATTGATAATGGCGTTAATATTTACGGAGCGCATCCTCCTTTCACCCTCCTGACATCCCCGAGGGACGGGGAGAGACGGGCCGAGCTGTGCAGGGGGCATAGCCCGGGCAGATGGTGCTGAGCAGGGTAAGCTCAGCCTGGGCTGCCTGCTCAGTGAGCTGAAGTTCCCTAGCTAAACGGCAGATTAGGAGGTGTAAAAGAACACTCAGCATGGCAATTTGGCTGAGGAAAAGGGCTAGAGGATGCAGCGAAGAAGGTCCAAGCAGTCTGGCAGGGTGGGTGAGGACCAAGCTGCAAGGAGCTGGCAGGCTCCCACCACATTCAAATGTATTTAAATGCATTTAAAGCGGGGAACTCCTTGCTGCGGGACACCAGGGGAGTCACAGCTCACAAGCAAATAGGTGACTCACAGGTGAAAAATGCTC